TCCCTTTCCCTTCCTCTCTGTAAAAAAATCAATAAAATATATTTTAATAAAAAATAAATAAATAAAATAAACTGCGCAGCCCGGCTGTGTGGCGCAGCAGCTTCTCCACGGTGGCCACGGGGAAGTTGTTCTCAGGGATGGTGACGTCCCTGAGCTGGTGGCAGCGGCTCAGGACAGGCAGGATGGCCTCGACTTGGGAGTCCGCCATCCCACAGTTATCCAGGCCCAGGTCCTCCAGGGTGGGTGCCACTGCCTCCAGCAGAGCTCGGAGGGGCTCGGGACTAAAACCAGCGAGGCTGGCTCCGTACAGACGCAGGGACTTCAGCTGCCTGAGGTTCAGGCTCTGGAACAGGTGTGTCAGGTCTAAAAGTGTCAGCCGCTGGCAATTCGCTATGGAGAGTTTGCCCAAGGGGCTCTGCAGGCACCTGGGGAGAGATGAAGGGGTTAGTGCCTGGGGACGGGGGTGACAGGTAGAGGGGGGCCAGCAGGTGGGAGAAGACCGATTTCTCCAAGCCCAGGGCTGTCCTGACAATCTGGTGAAGGCCAGCACCCTGGAAGCCCAGTCTCCTTTTAGGCTGGGTCAGGTTCACGACATCTCCAGAGCCTCCTTTCCTCAGCTGCCAAGCAGAGCACTGCTCTCTGGAAGGGGACTGGACATAAGGAATCCCTGGGAACCTGCTCAGAGAGCCTCACGGTGTCTAGGTCAAGGCTGGGCATCCCTCAACCTTTCTGTTGGGAGAGAAAACCAAGAATGCTCTCAACACAGGCTTCCTTCTGGCCACTGCTTGGCTCCAGACACCTGATATCTGAGCCACATGAGGCTCATTCATCTGATGCATAAGGAACACACCTGGCACTGATAGGTTTGACTCGGTGGATAAGGCGTTGACCTTTGGATGGAAGTGTCTCAGGTTTGATTACCACTCAAGCACATGCACCTAATTGACAGGCTCAATCCCTGGCCTTGGTTGGGGCATGTGCAGGGGGCAACCAATCCATATGTCACTCTCACATAGATTTTTCTCTTTTCTCCTCCCTCCAACTATCTAAAAATGAAAAGAAAAAAATATATTCAGGTGAGGATTTGTGAGAGAGAGAGAGAGACCAAACCTAAGCAAAATCCTATAACGTCAACTGGGGGACCAGCCTGCAGAGGCGACTTACATCCCTGGATCACCGTCTAAAAATGAAAAGAAAAAAATATCTTCAGGTGAGGATTTGAGAGAGAGGCCAAACCTAAGCAAAATCCTACAACGTCAACTGGGGGACCAGCCTGCAGAGGCGACTTACATCCCTGGATCACCTCAACCACCTCCCACTCTTTGCAATCCTTTCCCTCCCGCTCCCTTAGCTGTGGAATCCTGCCTTTCCTTTCTACTAATGACCTTTCTGGAGCCCAGGACCACCTCTGACAGACGGGGAAGCTGAGACAGGCTCACGTGTGTTCACATGGCCAGTGGGCACAGAGCTTCTGTCTGGAAATACTCCATGCGATGTGGCTTTTCCTCCTCCCTCCCTCTTCCTAAGTCCTGGTCACTTAGACATCTCTCCTTAAGGAAGCATTCACAGACCCAGGCTCACAGGGTCACTCATTGAGCCAGTTCTGCTACCCCTCCTGATAGGCTGATTTCAAAAACATGCTTCCCTAAGGTGCTCACAGGGTAACACCCTCAAAGCACCTACCAAGACCACTCCCTTGACATTCAGGGGCTGCGTCCACTGTTACACAGCTCACCTGAGCACCTGGTCCAGACGGCCTCGGAGGAAGGAGGGAGAATACATGTTGAGGTCCTGGAGGTGCTGCAGCCTGAGCATCTGAGACAGGAATTGGGAAAAGGATCGCTGCTCCTCCTGCTGTTTCCTGTCCCAATCCTCTTCCTCCTCCCACTCCTGCTCCTCTTCCTCCCCTATCTCTTCCTCTTTTTCCTCCTCCTCGGTCAACACGTGGATGTGGGAGAGAGAGAGTCTCTGCAGGTTACTCATCTGACCCAGGTAGAGAGCAAACGTCCCCAGGGTGGGCAGGTCCCAGGTGCAGTTCACTTCCACCTCCTGGATGCAGTCCAGCTGCACCCTATCCAGGACCCTCCTGACCCTCTGGAAGGGCACCTCAGAAATCCTCGGCGCCTTGCAGCACAGGTGTACCAACCCTCCCCTCTGCTGGGCCCACTGGATGATGTCCATGAAAAACTTATCCCGGTCCCTTTCATTGAAGTTAAGGTCTAGGAACACCTCCAAGGGAGCCAAGGGGTGCTCCATGTGGGGGCTGGAGCTGTGCACAGCCACTGGTTCTGTCCATGAGCACTTACAGGTGCTGTGTACACACCACGTTCTCCAATAGTTGGCACCCGTGTTCCTTAAATCCAGCACCCGCAGTTGTCCGCGAGCACTTAAGGCTGCTGTGTACACACCACATTCTCCAATAGTTGGCACCGTGTTCCTTAAATCCAGCACCCGCAGTTTGCGCCTCCTGTGGGAAAAGCAGGACATTAGCTGAGATTCTTCCAGGTCAACAGGGCATTGGCTGAGATGCTTTATGGACTGTGTGTCTCAGTGGTTGAGCATCTACCTATGAACCAGGAGGTCACAGTTCAATCCCCAGACAGGGTACATGCCTGGTTTGCAGGTTCAATGCCCGGTGCATGCGTGTGTGTGTGTGTGGTGTGTATATGTGTGTGTATGTGTGCAGGAGGCAGCTGATCAATGATTCTCATCATTGATTTTTATATCTATCTCTCCCTTCCTCTCTGAAATCAATAAAAAAGTGTTTTTAAAATGATTAGTAGAAGGAGGGCAGGTCAGAATGAGACTGAGCATCTGAGTTGAGGCAACAATCAGACTCCACCCCCACCCTGAGCTTCTACTTTGAATCCCAGGAGCAGCTTCTCCTTTGCCCTCCTCCTCCCTCTGCTTTCCTTTTCTCATCTCCTTCCCTTCCATCCCTCCTGCTCAGCACTCGGAGTACCTTGGGTACCACTGGGAGGAGGCAGGGCAGGTTTTGCAGGTGGCCCTGCCCAGTAGGCAGTCCTCCACTTCCCACAGTGAGCTTTGTAGTGTGCAAGGGCTCCCTGAGCCCCACTGGCACCGTCAGAAACAAGGGTCCACCCTTAGGCCCTCCCCATCCCCTGACCCACCCTGTCTCTGGGATGCCCAGGACCCTACCAGGCACTTGGAGCAGCCTTACCTGGGGCGATCCTCTTGGGCAAGCAGACCGTCAAGCCCCTCCAACACCGCTTTTAAGACCATGACTGGAGGCAGCCTCATCAAGCTCCCCAGAGGGAGGACAGGGAAGGGCCTGACTTGCACCAAAACCTTCAGGGGCTTCCGCATTCTCCTCCGGCAGGCCTGAATGAACAGTGGTTTGAAGAACTCAGCAGGCAGGTACCCCAGAGCTGTGATGGCCGAGGCCTGATCTCTCAGCAGGCTTCTTCCTGCCAGCCTCAGGAGTGTGGGTGGGGTCCGGATGCTCATCTTCAAGGTGCTCAGAAAAAAATCCTGAAGAAACGTCGAGGGAACAAGGCATCCTTGTCAGGCCAAGCATTTGAGCCCCATCAACTCACTCCCCATCCATCAGAGGAATCAACTCGGGGCCAAAGCCACTGCCTGGCACAGGTGAGAGCCTCAGGTTAGTGAGTGCCATTCTGGGCTCGGTGACCGCAGAGCCATAGCTCGCCCCTGCAGGCTCCAGGACAAGCATCTCAGAAGCACCCACATCTTTCCTTCCTGTCTGACTGGGAAGTGGTTCCTCAGAAACATGAAAGCTGACCCCCACCTTTTTGGGGGAAGAGTCCTGATCTAGGGACACAAACTGAATATTTAAAATTTCCAGAAATAAAACCACAGTTAAGATGTTTTCATTAGGAAGTGGGGGTTGGTCAGGGAATCAGCTTGGTGAGACATTTAGAAATAAACCAAAGCACAAATCCAAATGTTTGAAATTCAGGCAAAATTACACTTAGAGGCAAAATCAACGCCTTCAATCTGTCTGAAAATAAATAAATAAATAGGAAAGCTCCTTGTGCCAAGTCAAGTTCTTGGCACCGTGAGTTCAGCAGGATAACTCACCTGCTGTGACCGGGTCGGCTGGGGCTCAGATCTCAGACCTGGTGGAGAACCAGGGCACTGACTGCAGAGCTGGAGAAATCGGAATCTCTCCTCTGGTGCCTGGGGTTTTTATACACCTTCTCAAATGCTACCATCCAACCAGAACCCTCAGTCTCCATCCCTTTATTCTAAAAAGATTATTGCCTCTCTACAGATAAATAGATTGAGAGAAAGTTAGGGAGGGGCAAGGTTGAAGCCACAGATAAATAGATTGAGAGAACGTTAGGGAGGGGCAAGGTTGAAGCCTGGCTCATGGATTCCTTTCACAGACACTGACTGAGTTTGACTGATGGCCCATTGTTTAGAGACACAGAAGGGTGTAATGGGTTCCTGACGTTAGAAAGGAAAGAACACAGCCTGAGAGCGGGGTTGCTGGGGGTGTTTGGCCACATCCTTTCACAGACACTGACTGAGTTTGACTGATGGCCCATAGTTTGGAGACACTGAAGGATGTAATGGGTTCCTGACGTTAGAAAGGAAAGAACACAACCTGAGAGCGGGGTTGCTGGGGGTGTTTGGCCACATCAAAACTATCAGAACATTGCAGTTAAAACAGCCTTGAGAAGACAAGGGGGCCATCCGCTAAGAAAACAAACAATATGTGTCCATGCATCACGTTAGGTTTTATGTCAGGTGACATAGCAGGCCATGAGCTACTCAGGGAGCAAGGCGAAGGCGATTGAGGATGTGGCTGTCCCTCCAGGCCACCAGGTTTCTCTGAGGGAGGTGAGATGAGGAGCACCATGAGAAGCAGGGGTCAGCCATCCTAATGGAACCCTGTGAATGACCCAGGGCCATGAACATGATGGGTGTTTTTTCCTAGAGAGAAGAGAGATGGAAAGACTCTTCTCTGGGTGAATTTAGGATTTAAAAGGAAACAGGCTGGAGTAGAGACAGTGCCATCCTAGAGGGCAAAGGGAGAGATTGCATCTTCTGTCCCTCCCAGGATGAAAAGGGTGGGTCTCCTCTGGGAAAGATGGGATTAGCTCAGCAACTGGGTGGAGAAGATTAAATCTAAGAATGTGAGCAGAGAGAAAGAGGGCAGACCTGTGAGTCAGACATTTTCTTGCCTGAAAGGCACTGAAGGCAGATGCATGGGCTCTTTGGCATCTTGGAGCCAGGGAGTGAAATAAACGTGGGCCAATCACACGGATCCCTGTCACATCATGGCAGCTGCCACCAGGCGACGTTTATCTGAGGATCGAGGTTCTTCCACAGAGAACCCTTCCCAGATAGCAAGTGCCTTCCCTCACTACACCGTGTCTCCATGGCCCCATTCCTGCCCTCATGACACCCCTTCACTTCACCACACCCCTAATGATCTCCGTTATGACCACCAGCCTCCAAAGGCCCCACTTCAGTAAGCCTGTCCCCAATATCACTGTGTTCTGTATTTGTCTGACATCCTCGTGGTCTGCTGGACCAGAGGCTCTTTGAAGCCAAGGAGAACTCATGGCTACTTAGATGTCTGTGGAATGAATGGGTGGTTCTTGGCGGTGTGAGGAAGCCAGATGGGGCCAGCCCACTGCTGCCATGTGGAGCTCTTGGCCTGCACAGCCTTCCTCTAGGCCCCCATCCTTCTCCTGTCGGTCACTCACCCCACAGACACCCTGAGCACCCAGTGTGTGTGCCAGGCTCTGACTCTGGGGAACTCTGAGTCACGTAGAGAAGACAGCGCCACTGAACAGACTCTGGAGTGAGGAGAGAGACTGCTGTGAGTGCTGACGCCTGTAGCTGAGCTCTCCTGGAAACGGACAGCACCAACCCAGGCTGCCTCTACTAGGAATCTTGGAGTTTGTCTGCAGAACAAAATCACCGCCAACCACACACGTGTGGGCCCATGAATCAAATGCACAGTAGACCCAGATGTGTCCAGTGAGTCCTGAGCTGGGCTTCTGCTGGCATTTCCTGGAAGGGAGAGGCAGTTTTGCACAAGGGCTGAGGCAGTTTTGCACAAATCCCAGCTCAGGGACTCAATCCCTGTGTGACCTCGGGCTAGTCACCACCAGTCCTGTTCCTCCTCTATATGCAGGCATGACAGTTAGAACCCACCTCGGGCACCTGTCGTGAACGGTGGTGCTAACAGTGGAGATCTTCCCAGAGAGGCCTGTTCTTGCTCTTAGACAATATTTTTTCTTGCCTTTTTATTTTTATTTTATTTTATTTTATTCTACCTTTTTTTGTTGGTGGTGCTAATCCTCGCTGGAGGATATATTTTCCATTGATATTTCGAGAGAGTGGAAAGGAGGGGAAGGGACAGAGAGAAACATCCATGTGAAAGAGACACATCAATTGCTTGCCTCCCCCAAGCACTCGGACCAGGGCCAGGTATCTTGCCCACAGCCAGTACATGCCCTTGACTGAAATGGAACCCGGAACCTTGAGTCCACTGAGCCAAACCGGCTCCAGCTTGATAATTTGCTAGAATGTGGTAGCAAGTGACAAAAATGAAAGAAAAAAGTTCATAGAATAGTTCTTTTCATTTTCCTGCAAAGCAGAAGAATCAACTGTTATTTGTTGTTTGCTGGTTTTAGTGGCAGAACATGTGAGACGGGCAGCTGGTGGCAGGTCCTGGAGGATGAGAGGCAGGAGCTGCTTCCCCTCTGAGGCTGGGGGAGCTGAGGCAGCTCAGGGCCCTCTGTCAGGAGGGGAGAAGCTGAGCTCTGGGGAGAATATGGGTCTTTAGGCATCAGAATGGGTTGGGGTTGGGGACAGAGTTCCACCTTGGGGCAGGGGTTTTAGGAATGTGAATAAAAAAAAGAAAAGTATGAGGCGGGGGGGCACCATAATAAATCTACGTGTGTCTTAGCAGGTGAGGCTCAGTGGTTGAGTGTCCTCCCATGCACTGGTAGGCTGATGGTTCAATTCCTGGTCAGGGCACAGGCTGGAGTTGGGGGCTTGATCCCCAGTTTAGGGCCTGCAAGAGAGAGCAGACCAATGATTCTCTCTCATCATTGATGTTTCCATCTCTCTCCCTTCCTCTCTCAAATCAATCAAAATATTTATTTTAGAAAAAGAGTCCTGTCTAGATCCCTGCACTGGGCACACCTGTGCCCAACTGCTGTGAGTGTAGATTGCTAATGGCCCCTGGCTCCCACCTCTTGTAAGAATTCACTCCCATGGAAGTGAAGCCCCTTGTCAGGCCTGCCCCAGGCATCCCATAAAACCAGCCACCTGGCCTCCAGGGGCACCCACATTGTGGTTCACTCCACACTTGAGTCTCCTGAGAAGTCAGGGGGAAGGTGGGAAAAAACCCAGGCTTGGCTCCTCCCTCTGTCCTCTCTGTGTCCCTCTGGCTGATCTTCTGAGAGCCCCCTTCACCCCGACCCCATCAATACTCTGTGCCTACATCCCTGTGTCAGATTCTCCTTGGGAAACTGAGCTAAGTCACCTGGACATGCAGGTGCCTAGGAGAGAACCACACTGACCCACACAGGTACAACTGTTCATTATGTTCACAGAAAGGGCTTTGCATTTGGGAGCAGGCAGCCCGTTGATGAACATCTAGGACGTTTTCTCATCACGTGGGGGTGTCGATTGTGGGGAGGCTGTGAGTTGGAGGTGCAGTGGTCTAGGGGTGCTCTTTCTACTTTGTGCTCAATTTTGATGTGAACCTGAAACTGCTCTAAAAAAATAAAATCTAATTTTTTAAAATTGTTTTATTACTAAAAGTATTACAAAGAGTATTACATGTGTCTCCTTTTTTCCCCGTCCTTAACAATCCCCCAGCCTCCCCACCCCCCAGTGTCTTATGTCCATTGGTTATGCTTATATGCATGCATACAAGCCCCAGGCATCCCATAAACCAGCCACCTGGCCTCCAGCAGCACCCACTCTGTGGTTCACTCCACACCTGAGTCTCCTGTGGGGTCAGGGGGAAGCTGGGACCACATCCTGGCTTGGCTCCTCCCCCTGCCCTCTCTGTGTCCCTCTGGCTGTTCTCCTGAGAGCCCCCTCACCCCCACCCCATCAATCCTGTGAGCCTGCATCCCTGTGTCAGGTTCTCCTTGGGAAACCGAGCTAAAACACCTGGACATGGAGGTGCCCAGGAGAGAGCCACACTGACCCACACAGATACAACTGCTCATTATCTTCACAGAAAGGGCTTTGCATTTGGGAGCAGGCAGCCCGATGATGAACATCTAGGACGTTTTGTCACCACGTGGGACTATGTGACCTTTCTCCCAAGTCAGCTCTGCCACGGGGATGCCATCTCAGTGGATCGGGATCGGATATTCCCGAGGACAGTGTTGGGGACGCCAAAGGCCCAGGGAGGTGAAGAAGGGCAGCCAGACAGGGATCACATCGTTTGGGGAGGAGATTTGGCAGTGGAATGAGAACCCTCAAAGGTCCTCAGTCCACTATGGCTCCTTGGAAATTTCCATAGTGTCATTGCTTACATGATACCTGTGTCATAACTCAGGAAAATTCTGGCTTATGAGAGCAGTGGCGGGACCTTGTCACTTCCCTAGAGGTGTTTGGTGAAGGTTAAATCTAATCAGTTCAGAGATTTGTCATTCAAGGGCTGATCCAGAAGCCGACAGCAAATATCATAGTCACGGTGCAGGAACAGGAGCACCATAGGCTGTGTGCTCTAGGC